CTGCAAAGATCCATCGAAAAAGGTTGTTTTAATGTTGAAAAAGTCCCTAATTGATCGTCGACATCAAGATGTATGAGTGTCTGAAAACAAATTTAAAATTTTGAGTGCCAGAAATTGTGCATCTTGCAACATATTATCTACACTGTCCATTTTAGGAATTTTTATATGTTTATAGATCAACATGATTTTTACCATTTTTGGAGCATAAAAGTATTTAATTAGATATGACATTAGATTTTCAGAAAATCCAAATAATCTTTTATGCAAAAACTGCGTGACATGATAAAATTTGGTGGCGTGTCTTAATTGCATTTATTAAGGTTGCAACCTTATAGAACCACAGCCATGGATATATGAACTTGGAAATAAAAAATTTCAAGGTAGGTATGTTAGGGTAGACCCTGATGGATCATGGGTGCGGGGCACACTTTACAACTCAACGCACAATCCAATTCCATTGCCAGTGGCATGATAGGGTAGACGCTGATGAATCATGGGATGGGCACACTCGACAACCCAACGTGCAATCTAATTTCCATTGCCAAGTAAGGGAATAGTTCAATGTTTGTTATATTTGCTATTACTTAATGACCATTTTGCTCCATCGTGAATTAAAATAGAATCATGTAGGGAAATTTTTAGTAATCTCATTTCAATCCCACTTACTACACGGGCTGTAAATAATAAATGTCCTTGAAATTTACAATGACAATAGATTAAAGAAAAAACAACCACAAAAAAATCCATAGAGTGTAAGAGAGAAAAGTGTCAGTCACTTAGTCTTATTCAGGCACGAATTCATTCAAATGTTACATAGAGTGAGAGAGAGAGAGAAAGAGAGAGAGAGAGAGAGAGAGAGAGAGAAACACGACTATAGGTTCATCCGGTTGGGAGCCCGCCTGATGGTTTGCAATCTTTGTTCATCAGTCATCGAAGGAGAAGCTTCACCTCTAGTGGGTGGGGTCGCAATCGAAGATTGCACTGGAGTATGGGGTTGCAAACCATGGTCATAATGGAGATCTAAAGGGCTATCATGCTCTTCTACAATAGGCGGGAGAATGGTCGGTCTAGTCCGTGGTGGGAGAGAAGCCAAATCATCTTCCACTTCAATATTCTCATCCATCGCAGCTAAGGCATCTATGTCATCAACAAGGTTGTCATCTTCAGAATGAGCATCCCAGTTTTCGTAGTTGGTCTTATAATCAGTCCTCAATCTGCTCAGTAGCCTGTCAATGTAATGAACACAGAACAATGACTCAGATCGATCAGCATTCAGTTGATTATGCTTAACACTGTGAATGTAACTATACGTGCTCAACATCTTTCAGCGCATGACTTGGGACAACACCTTAACTGCAACTGAATACAACTCTGAGGCCCCACCACCATACAAGTCCCACCACGATACTGATGACAATGTACCTCTATCAGTTATGGATGCTGGTAGTGAGAAACTCCCCTTGCTGCTAACAAAATCACTTCTTTGTTGTTGTACCTTGCTCCACTCAGCCTGATCCCTAACTACCGCATCAAGAGCACCATGGTAGGACATAGATACCTCAATATCCTGATGGGGCTTCGCCCGCTTCTCCCCACCAGATGTCGGTACTGGCAACCATTCACGAGAATAATATTTTGGACTAAGAATAAAAGAAAGACAATGAAGTGGAAGGTTAGCCCTGTTCCATATGGCTACCAATAAGTCCCTAACCTTTTGAAGCAACACTAGATCATCATATAGAGAAGCCGATATTTCTCCCAACATAGTATCCAGACGCTCGTACGCATCTCCAATTACAACCTTATCACTATCTGTGAACTTTATCATTTTCCAGATTGACCTTGTGAACCCTAATATTTTTTTGTTTGTTGCCCAAAAATTATCATCCATCTCTATTTCGTGAACTTCACCATGCTCCTCGCCTTCTGAACCATGTCTGAGTCCAACCCAATGGTTGCTCAAGATTAGGGATGTCAAGACGAGCCTTACTTCCTTAAGGCGCCTTAACATGATGTAGTGATAACCGATTCTGGTCTTCTTGGATTTTAGAAGCTCGAGTTTCAAAATAGTTCAAAATATGTACAAACACCTCGTGTGGTTGCGTATATATGTCATTATCCTCTTTCCCTCTTTGCAATGATCCCTAACAAAAGCAAATCTTTGGTGCCTTTTCTTTTTGTCCACAATATCCTTCATGGGAAGGCTCAACGTGTGAACTAAGCAGCCTGACCAAAAAATATGGGGATGACGTCTACGAATTATTGAACCAGCTCCCTTGCAATTCGATGCACTCTCAGTCATGACTTGAACGACATTATAAGGTCCAATATGGTCAATAGCCTTTAAGAGTATATCCGCAACATTCTGACTAGTATGCTCAATTTCGAAGCAATCATAGCCAATCACAAACATAGCCTTACCCTCTGATACAACCATTATGTTTATCAAGGAATGATTCTTCACATTACTTCATCCATCAGAATAAATAGAAACCCCATATGTTGGTAATTCATTTCTCAATGCACCTAGCTCACTGTCAATCCGGCTCCTCTCTTTATCTAGCAAACTTGTCCTCAATCTCTCATATTTAGGGGGCACATAATCCTCGGGAGCATTGTTTATTGCATATATCATTTCTTGAAACTGAGGACCCTTTACCACATTAAAAGAGATCCCATGACCATAAAAACATCAAGCGATTGCAGCATCGACATCCTCCCTCGCATGAGCATCAAAGATATGGGCTATACTACACCTAACCCTTTTATTTGAACTCAAAGCATTTTGGGTCAACCTGATCACTGCGATAATGAAGTGAATACAATTTGATCAAGCGACGTAATGCTTTCTTTTCGACTCAAACCAAACAAACCTTTAGCCTCAGACTCTTCTACCCTCAACGCATCTCATTCGTCTGTTGATATTTTTGGGCAAAGAATTATACCTTTAGTCTTCTTCCCCTGTGAAAGGCCTAATAAATGTGCACGCACACGTATGTACAATCCTGTGAAAGGGACATCTCGACAGTCAAAATTACATTTCCATTTCCTCCCCCCACTCCCAATTTCATATCACCACCTACTAGAGTGACATAATACCACAAAGGCGTTCAAGATGGTTCATCTACCTCTTCTTCTTCTATACCTGTATTATCCCCTCCAAAATATTGAATGACTTAATCATGTTCCATAATATTACAAAATGGGATACACTGCACAACAAGAGAATATTACTTTATTAATCTCATCTCTCAATTGTCAATACATCTTCCTTGCTCACGTCTGAATATTATCTCACTAAGCTGCTCTCTCTATCTTTCTATCTCTCTATCTCTCCCACACATCATTCCACTCTCTTTATATGCCTTTTCTTCTCTCCCTAAACTTAGTAGAAGATAGACTTGTATAAAAAGGTCAAGAACGTTCATAATTGCTTGCGCGCAACAAATCGTTAATAATTTTTTGTGCACAAAGTAAATGATATAAGTGAATAAAAGTGATGATAGTATATTTAATGTCAAAATGTTAGCCAAAGTAAAGAAACCCCCATATATAAGAGACAAGATAAGGAGAGATATAAATTGCACATGACAAAAGTGCAATCAATAACAAAGTAAAAGATATACAAAAAGATATATTTATATATAGAGAGAGAGAGAGAGAGAGAATGTACAGATGCATTAAAGATAAAGAGTAGAAGTGTTCGCCCCATGGGCACATAAGAAACAAGTATAACAACGACACCCTCCACCAACGACCACAATCATGAAAGCTCCAAGCGCCTCGATCCAAAGCCGCACGGACTGGCCAATCCCTCCCCGCCTGCCACCCTCCACCAAGGATCTCAAAAAACTAGATGAGCACCGCCAAGATACTTAATAAAACCGATTATGGTATGCCCAAAGGCTACCATATGCCACTCAAAGAAGAAAGAGGCATAAAAAAGAAATAGGGACGAGGCTGCCAGCATCTAAATGGGCTCGAGATCCTCCAAATTGAAATCAAGAGGTGGGAGAGGTTCATTTTGGTATGTTGCGAGCAGGGTACTTAGTTGGATGTTTGCATCCACTACCAGTTCATACTCTCGTGAGCTTGCATGGCATTCCGAACGTCCAGTAGCCCTCTCTCTGCTCTCCCAAAAATAGAACGTGAGGCATCTAGGGCGACTAACAATTTGGCCTGGCATTGTCGGAGGCCCTCGTTCTCTCTAAGAGTATCAGATAACATATCAGCAAAAGTAGGGAGGAGGTCAATAAAATATAGGGAGTCACGGGTTGCAGATTTCTCTACATCCTTTTTAGTGCGTGAGGCCTCACCCTGGATTTGCCATGCACAATTACCATCGCCTGGAATACCATAGCATGGGGAGGACCGTAACTGCGAACTGTATATTGGTGGAGGGTTTCACCACCTAGCATTAAAATCTCTTGAGGCCTATTTTTGAAAGATATAGGCGGGAAGTCTAAATTAGGTGCATTGTAAAATATTTCATGTTTAGGGGGGGGATGCCATGATGTTTGGGAGTTGGAGGTGGAGGGAGGGTTTCCATATATTCAGCCATATCGGGTTCATATGCTTCAAGATTATGGAGCGGTGCATTGGAAACTTTAGAAGAAGCATCACTCATTTCCCTATCCATTTTGTACCTACAAAATAACTAATTCTAATGATGGGTTGGAACTTCTAATATATAACATAAATATAGAAAAGAAGCACCATGATTCATTTGCCAATTATAAAAAATAGCAGGAAGTAGCAATTAAGTATTGATATTAAAAAAAGATGCAATACAATCAATACGTAAAGAAAATATAAAACAAATGAAATTATAGCATCATGAATAATTTGGCAAACATACAGCAGAGTTACTTACTACAAAACACTAATAATGGAGCTTCTAATATATAGAAAAAATATAGAAAAGAAGCACCATGTAGCAATTTTCATGTTTTCGAAATACCAAGATATAAGTGGAATCAGCAAATAAATTTTTACAATTGTAATGAAACACACCACCTTTGCCATTAAATATACCACAATTCCAATGAAAAGTGTTACATTTATGCAAAAAAATCATAGATCTAAGGAAAGGAAATTAAGAACATTAATAAAACTAAATACCAAAGGTAGCAAAGAGAATAAGAGAGTGGATAATGTACGGTACAGGCCTCAAATTGCATAGAGTAGGAGAGAGCAATGAGTACCCATTTATTGTCTCACATAAATCTAGGCTGACAATTACGTGTTTGTAAACTGAAGAGCTCATCATAAAACAAACACTAAAGAAATAACCCAACAACAATAACTAGTGCAGGACTATGGCCAATGACCATAGACCAAACAAGTACCTGTATACCGAGGACGAAGCTCCTCAAGGCCATCTTCAACAGCTTCAAAGTCACGAACAATAAGCTGGATAGTATCTTCAATTTTCGTAAGCTTGGCATTTACAATTTCAAGACTGAAGCAGACTAGGTCAAGAGGAACCTGAAGGGGCTCATAATCAAACCAAACGTGCAATATATCTTTCATAAGATGATGAAACCTCAAAG